GGAATTGCTGGAGCTGGAGTCCAACAGTGGAGACTTAGAAATTTAGATAAAGAAAGAAAAAGACAGGGAGATATAATTAACGACCAACAAAGAGAACTTCAAAACTGCAGGATTGCATACGAACAACGATTTGTAGGAAACGCAAAAGCCCCACCACCATCGTACCAACCAATACCAATAGTACAAAACAGCGTCACCGGAGGAAACACACCTTTAGTAATCAACCCTTTTAGTAATCTATATGCCGTCTCTCAATAGTACAACCATTGGAAACCAACCGACACCGACCGACATCGAAGAACAGCATATAAATTTTGTAAATACAATAATATCAGCAGTACTTATAGGGATTGCTATTATATCGATATTTGTGGGGTATATTTATTATTACAGAAGACGACTTAAGAGAGCAACTGGAGGAGCATCCTTGGATGACATAGAGACAACCCAAAGGATATACAACAACGCAAGAAGAGTCTACCACTTTTAAAAATGAGCATATCTGTGATACCTTTATCAACAACGATGATAACAACAACATTCATTTCAACAGCAACCAGCATAATTAACTCAGTAGTGACATCAGCAACAACCGCAACAGCGACAACCACAGCAGTACCAGAAGGAGGAATATTTGTAACAACAACAGCAGAAATAATTATTACAACTGTTCTTGCAGTAGGAACAGCAATTGGAGGATTAATATACCAGAGATATTCGCGTATACAGAAACAAAAAGACAAGACTGACGAGTTAAAAGAATTAAAACAAGTGGTAATAAAAGTAAACGATCCTAACAATGGGTGATATATTTTTCATACACGACCGACTTATGGTAGGAACGAAGCAAGAAGTTAAAAAGGAACAACCCAAAAAGGAACAACCTCAGAAGAAAACTGGTAACCCTAAAATAGAACAATTATATACAACATTTATTGATGTCGAATTAAATATAGATAGACTAACTCAATTACACTCATTATTAAAGAAACAAAACCCAAGAGATGAAAAGAGAATCGCGATAGTAGTAAAAGCACTCCAGCGATATAATCAAATAGTATTACTTACACAAATGAAATAGATAGAAAATGTATTCACTTTATTTTTCATAAATATATCAAATAAAAGCCTATAAATTTGTTACAAAGAGTTATTTAAATTTAATATACTCGACTAACGAATGAGTACAAAGATGACTGATAAAATCATCTAATAATAGAACACGATAGTAATTATTGTGAACAGTAACATTCTGATTAACTTCTATGATAAAAAGATGAAGACCTTCGAGATCAAGAAAAAAAGAAAAGACGACGGAATGAGATGATCTCTTAAGAGCATTGACATTGCGATCACCGACTTCACCAGGTAATGTTTCAGACTGGTAAGAAGTAATATGACGAATAAACTGAGAAAAGAATGGATGGTCACCTAATATGCTCGAGACAGACCTCTGATAATCAGGAGAAACCAAACGAAGGTAAGAAAAACCAGGTTGAACAGGAGAAGCAAATAAATTACGAACACTTCTAAGAGAATTAGATTCAGATTGAGAAACCATTGTACCAGCAGAAGGGATAACAGAGGATTGGACATGGTTAATTAAAATCTCCAATTTAGGAACGATTTCTTGAAGATAGAGAAAGACTTCTTTGTAAATAAAATAAATCGCAAGGGATAAAAAGAAGACTGCGATAAAGAAGAAAATATTTGAAATAACTTGAAACATTTTTGTAAAAATGAGGGGAGGATATAGCGAATAGTAATGGTTTATAAAACTAACAGAAAGAAACCTTGAGAATAAAATGGAAATAAATGAAAACGAACCAATGGAAGAATAAAAGAATCTTTTGGAAAATTTAATACAACGAACCAATAAAAGAAAAAAAGAATAAAAAAGAAAGAAAAAGAACGATTGGAATCGAAAGAAACTTTTGGAAGGTAGGAGAAGAAATATTAACCAATCACAGTTGACGAGAGTAATTATAAAAGATCCAACCGCCAGATTAACTTGAAAACCAAGAAGTAAAATGACAAATGAATTCTGAAGAACTTCAAGAAGAACGAGAACAAATAAAGATCAAGAAAGAAAGATTTCAAGAAGATCAAAAGATTATCGAAGCATATAAGAAACTTAAAGAAGAACAAAAAAAACAAGGATTCCAATTAACAGTTATAAGGAAAGGAAGAGAGATCGAAGGAATCGAGTCACCACACAGAAGAGGAAGGGTATTTAAATTAGAAACAGACGAACAGAAGGAGGATTTCAGGAAAATATTGAAAACACCTTTAGAAAAGATAAAGAAAGGAAAAGGAGGAATAACAAAAAAGAAAGTTACTATCATTGGAAAAAGATACGAAAAGATACAAACATACTTCCCAGAATTTCTTGAAACATTTGGAGATATCGACAGAATCTTAAATTAAATGGCAGGATATTGGATTACAATTGTGCAAGAAAGTTATTTTACGAAAGATAATTGCGAAATAGCTACAAGAAGTCACATATACAGACAAGAAGAAGGAAGATTAATTAATAGGTCAGAAATATCAAAACAAGAAGAAGAGATATTGTGGGAAAGACTTAAAGAACGATATTATTGGACAGAACCAGACCAAGCGGGAAACATGAGAACACATTATTGGATTGGGAGAGATACAGCCGAACATATATTCTTGTATGAAGAATACTTTGACTTATTTGATGATATTTATGTTGGAAAAATAACATATTACGAAGAAAGAGTAAATTCTATAATCCAGTGTATAAGAGTAGAATATTTAGATAATTTAGGACAAGAATATGAAATTGATTTGATGACAGCAGGAAAAATAATTGACACGATAGGAAAAACAAAACAAGTGTTAAAAATAGTACGAAAATCAAATCACGTCAATACAGAAGAAGCAATACAAGTTCAAGGACAAATAAAAGAAATTTTAACAGACCACTTAGAAAGAAAAGCAACAAGAAATCAGATTTCTGACACAAGTGAATATTTAACAAACGAAGTTGAAAGAATATCTTTGGATGATCAGCAATGCACCCAATATTCAGATTAATTGAAATGGCAGAAAATATACTACCCTATATTGAAGAAACAATAGAAGAATATCCAGCATATACAAGAATCAAGAAAAGATCACATAATTTAATAGCAGCTATGAGTATATCTCAAGAATGGCATAGTGCTGGAAGAAAAATATTAAAAAAACAATTATGGACTGAATACCAGAAAAGCACATTTAAATATTTTTGTAATGTATGTGGAGAAAGAGAATCAACAATGTATAAACATACATCAGGAGTAGTAAACCAAATCATCAATTGGAAACAAAAAAGAGTTGTATACGAAGATAACAAAGAAATATTGGAATGGAACTGTAATAAAAAATGCTTCATACATTGTAAAGATAAACCAGGACATTGTAACAAAGGAGTAATAGTAAAGTATTATACAATGAAAAATGAAAACCAACTATGGGAATGGTGGACAGAGAAAATACAAAAACTTATAAAAGAAGAGAGACAACAGTACCAAAAATACAAAAACATCCAACATGGTTACTACCAGAAGCCAAACAAGAAAACTAGAACAACCAAGCGAAGGAATGAAGACAGTCAAGAAAATAAGAAAAGCAAAAGATGAAGACTCTAAAGAATAGGGAAAGAGAGAAATAAGAAAATGGCAAGAAGAGTTAGGAAAGAAACTAACACCAAGACAAATAGGAAATCAGCTAGAAGAGGATGTATATTATATCATGGCCAAGATAGGACCAACACAAAGAACACAGTCAGAATTCTACAGTGAAAGGGAAAATAAATATGTTCCAACAGGAGATGGAGAAGTAGATTTAATAACAGAAACACAAGACGAAGTAATACTTATACAATGTAAAAATTGGCAGTCTGAAGTAAGAACAGCAACTACAAGGGAATTCATTGGAGCCTTAAAAAAGTATAAAGAAAAAATAAAAGATAGGCAAATGATTGGAATGATAGTAGCCAAGAGTGGGTATACAAAAGGAGCTGAAAATGAGGTAAAAGCTATAAATACAACCATACTTTTGACAACACCAAAGGAAATTAAAAATTGGAATCTTACAAAACTCAAGGAAAGAATTAAGCAAGGACAATTGGACCAAGGAATAAGTAAACCAGAAAAGAAATTTGAGAAAAAGAAATATTTTGTTGTGGAAGAACAAGGAAAGATTATAGTGATTAAAAGAGAGAAAATAACTGTAGAAGTTAAGGATGAATAAGGATGCAGTGTACCTTTTTATAGAAGGAAGTATAGGAGCAGGAAAATCAACATTTATACAACATCTTAAAAAATATTTACCTACAGATTCATATATTATATTAGGAGAAGGGAATATTGATATAACTATATTACATAATTATTATCAACATATTATAAATAAAGGAAACTCTTATAATGAATATGGGTTTATACTACAAAATGAAATAATTAATCAAAGGGTAAAGCAACTTGAAGAAAGTGAAAC